TCGCATGCCAAAAAGTAACTACATCTCAGGTAGATTTAAAACAAGGTTGCAGACTCCTTTTAGTAGAAAACGTTTTGGGGAAATTTCTTGTATTTAATTAACTGAAAGCATCAATACAAGAACAAGAAATAACAACTTCTTTTTGTGTAGTCATGGGATCTCTAATTCAAACAATTATATGCTGTGAGTCCAAAACTGATATTTATCTTCAGACAAATGCTACCATAATGAAAATACAAATTTTAAAAACAAACGAAGATGAATCTTCAACAACTGCTAGAGAATCTAACGTATACAAAATGTACATGTACACATATTTTTCCAAGTAGATATATCCCATTTACTACAAGGCTCTTAATTTTGAAAACAAAGTGATGTACACAATACTTGTAAAATTACAATGTTCTAGATGCTCAAGAACAAATGGATTCCAAGTCCTGCATGCAAGGCTCTAAAATGGCCTCTGGGAAGCCATCTTGCCAGATTGTGAAACAAAATGATATAGAATCCAATCCTATAATGCAATGTTCTTTCAAATATAGATGTGCAATGTAAAAGTGCATTTTATCTATTGCAAGACTAAGAAATGGCCTATGGACAGCCATTCTTGTTTGAACATGTTGAATAAATGTCAACCTTTATAAGATATACATGCCTGTTTCTCAGGGAAAGTTGAAGAAAATTGAAGAAAATCTGAAAAAAATTCCATTTAATTCATGAATTTTACATTAACATTGCCTTGCTGGGGAAAAAACGGTGAGTACAGACAATGTGTTAAAATACACCTACAATGTAATTTGAAGTGTGCTTTTTAAAGATGTTATCACAATAAATCTCAGAGCCAAATGTGCCTGGGGAGAACACTGTACCTGTATCAGACTTCAATTACATCTGTTGTGAGGTTACATATTTATTATCATGGCTATCAACATCATCAAAATAAAGCTCATTTAATGACTCAGATTTGTAATTCAGTACGCCTACTATACCCAGGGACAGTTACATTTTTTTTTAAAGAAAACGAGAGCATTTTGTTCTCAACATCAACAGTGTTCATACTCAATGAAACTTATTTTTGAGAGCAAACATCCTGGCATTTTCAACGCCAGGCAACCACAGCCGATAAAAACACTCAAAAGATTGTACTTTAGACTAGTTGTTGTGACTCTCCTGAGTGTAATAGGATTACCACTACAAGTGCAACATAAATAAATTTAGTTACTCAGGATTGTCTCAAAGTTGATTTTGAATATAAATGTTTCCTTGACTTTAGATGTTTTCATCAGCTTTTCTATCGGCGTTTCACAGCAGCCCATGCAGAGCCCATATAAACACATGGTACAGTAGTGCACGTCTTAGCAACGTCTTAGCAATGTAGAACATTCTTTGACATAGCTCCACTGCTAAGAATTGGCATTCATAACAAGACCTTGATTACCATACTCTTGGCTTCAGCTACACATTGTCAAGTACAACAGTATGAAGGCAGAGATACACTAAATGGTAGAACAAAGACTTCGCTACCAGCCTTTCCTGTAAAATTATTTTCGGAAATTGTTTAATTTGAATCCAACCATCAAAATTTGCTTATATATACCATCATGTATGAGAAGTAAATGGATGTTTAGATCACATGGTTACTATACATGTACTTGTTAATTACCACAATCATGTTTAATAGACCAAGTTATTGTACGAGATGTTACATGCCATTTTAGTGAATTTAAATAAATGCATGAATTACAGAATCTTTAATTAGCTAACGTACGTGCCAACAATTTAAATTAACGGCATTCTGAATTAAGCAAAATTACAGATTAGCTAAATAACATGCGAGCCAAAAAGACATTGTACCTGAATTTCACATGGCAAACAATCTTCACAACTAAAGGTACCCGGTATTGTCAATTTTGTATCACATGTACGATATTTGCTCTATTAGAAACACATTTCGAATAGAAGTACATACATGTACATGTGCAATCTAAAAATCACATTTGTTGTATATTACATTATTACTTATTTTGACTATAGAAACATTCTATAATTTATGAGAATGTCACAGCCTGTTTTAATGTGTATATTGGCAAAATGTAAAAGCAAAAGGTTGCTTTTTTGTTATCTTGGATTGGATCACAACACAAATCAGTTTTAGTTAAATGTGCTACTTTGTAGAATTGGACAGCTTGAATTTGAGATATAAGCAGAAATGTACAAAAAAAAGACGAACAATATGGCCGACAGGCGATCATCTTGGATTGGATTGTGACATATTCAACTTTTGTTTATGTGCTGGAACACAATTGTCTGTGAACCGATATGGGCCTAATTGAATTTGATAAACAGCTGTATAAGCCAAAATGCGCAAAAAATAAAAGATGAAAATTACAGATTTTCTTTGAATATGTGGAACAAATTAACTATTATTTATATAACTAACTATTATATAACTGGGTTCTTATGCCACAATGACCAATAAACTGGACACAGAGATCCAGGTGAGGAAGGATAGAGCATCAGCAACCTATGCACAGCCGAGTAAAGTGTGGAGAAGTAAAACCAGCCTGAAGGCTAAACTTTGCATATGCAATGCTGTGATAATCACCACACTACTGTACGGAGCAGAGATGTGGGCTACCACCCTCACGCAAGAACACAAGCAGGATGCCTTTGACAATCAGTGCCTCAGAAAGATCCTGGGAGTATGATGGTTCCATCGAGTACGGAATTCAGCCATAAGGGAGAGAACTCAACATCCACCAGTCTCCCTACGGTTGCGGCAAAGGCGACTCCGATGGTTCGAACATGTATGTTGTATGGGGCCAGAGAGACAACCTAGGGCCCTGATGGATTGGAATTCAGAGGACGTAGTCAGCCGGTGGAAGAGAGAAAGGCACCCGACAAGATGGAAGGAAGCAGTTGAGAGGGATAAGAGGTCAGCTGAATTTACTGGTAACATCTGCTCCCTTGCTGCAGATGGACAAGAATGGCAAAACGTGGTTGCACTAGTGGCGATGTAATCGCCTTGGTTGCGAAAATAAATATAAAAAATATATAACTAAGAACACACTTGTCTGTGAACCAAGTTTAGACATAATTGGACAGTGTGAAATTGAGATACATGTATTGTGTAAAAAAAAAGACAAAAATGATTGTCATCAAACAAAATTGCTGCTGGTCAGCCATATTGCATAGAATCTCGTCAAAAATCAACGTGCATCTTTGTGAAATATATACTGCCTCTGTGACAAACCTGAATAAACTTACCCCGGTAGTCAATGTATTTTCAAGT